AGACCAAAGCATTCTTCAGCTATCTTCTTATAATAATTTTACTGTAAATATACAATCATAATCACCCATTCTTACAATCCTTCTACTAATACATGTCAATAATTTTCAAGCTCCTTAAAAACACATCTTAACAGGCAACATGTTCTACAACAAGTCTAGTGCAACTCTAGAGCTGGGTGGTTCTGGTCAAAGCAGGCCCTCTCCGCCCCTACTTTCTGAAGGGCCTCTGTGGTACCCTTACAGACCTCTGGGGTCCCGCTATATCCAATGTGAAAACCACTCGTTTGTTTTCTAGGTCACAATGAACACTTTACACATTCCATGCTTGCATACCTTAAAAGCATGCAGAGCTTATACTGCTTAAGAGACCCATGATCTGGGGCTGGTGTTGCGGCTCAGTAGGAAAAGCCACTGCCTGCCGTGCCCGCATCCCATATGGGTGCTGGTTCACACCCCAGCTGGTCCACTTCTGATCCAGCTACTTGCTAATGCACTTGGGAAAGCCCTGGAGGATGACCCAAGTCACCCAAGGATGACTCCTGGAACTATGTGAGAGACCCAGAAGAGGCTCCTGACTTTGGCATGGCCCAGCCCTGGGCCCTGGCGGCCATTTGGGGGAGTGAACCAGCAGATGGAAGATCTCTTTGTCTCTCCCTCTCTCTGTAACTCTTTAAAATAAATAAAAAATAAATCTTAAAAAATAAAGACCTCTGATATAAATTCTTAGATACAGTGAATAATCACAGCTTATTCTACCCATTTAACATTTAGATTTTCACCACTGAACTTTTTCAGTTTGGTTCCTAAGGAAGAAATAACAGCAGTTCCATTTTGGCAGCCTTATGAAAACAACCACTGTCTCTCCCTTCTGTGCGCTCTTCAACCAACAGATGTCACTAAAGATACCAGTACCCAGAGGCAAAGGAAAAGAAAAGATTAGACAAATAGAAATTGAGCATAAAAAACATCCAGTTCTTAAAACTGAGAAGTAGGTTTCCAAAGTAATAACATTTATTACACTGCATGCGGCATTTTAACCAAAAATTTAAGAAAGAAATTTCTTTTATTAAGTTGCTCAGGCTGAATGGATCATAGCACTAAGTTTTGAAATACATGTTCTTGAAGCAATTTAAAACTCATTAGAAATAATAGGCTTGGGCTAGTAGAAAATGTGGTAAAATTTAATCCTCATCCAAATGTTACCTGGGCTGTACAAACAGGAAATTGTTTTGTGCTACTGTGGCTAACCTCATTGCTGACCCTGAGCTGTAACGGCAAGAGCAGCGGAGAGCTGAAGCAAAATTAAAAACTTACATCAAAGTATATCATGACAGAATGTAGATAAATAAAACAGCATATCAAAAGTATTATTTTTCTGCCAGTCTCATGGAGCAGCAAGGTGGAGGTACCTCACAAAATGTATAACAAATCAGGTGCATGTGGAAATAAGTCCTTCCCCCTCCACATCACCCTAATCACTGACTACCTAATGCCCCCAGTGAGAGGTGAGCAGAGAAGAAACCCAGTGAGGACGGTGCCAGAAGGGATCACAGAATATTCTGGCCTCTCTCTTCCATGAGGTTCCCCTTTCTTCACCTTGGCTCACCAAAGAAATACATAATCCTGGCTCTTCTGTGTCCTCCTGGAACTCATTCATTTTCTAGTCCCCTGGCTGGCAACCACATGATCTCTCTCCAAGGACTGTATTAGAATCTCCAGAGGTAATATCACAGCTCATAAAACATTACAGAAGGCAAAGATTCACAAATAAGTTTGGCCGATGGGGGCCCGCACGGGAATCAGAGAAGGGCGAGCAATAGTTTTCTACTGCTCCGTGTTAAGCTCATGTGTAAGGTCACCGGTGCCACAGTTGAAGGACTTTCTCTGTTGAACTTCTGATTTCCCCTTTGTTTTGGGATAGGAATCACCATGCTTTAAAGAACAGTGCTTCATAAACATCCGAGGTGCAATCTTCCTGTGGCCACTCCCAAGAGGCAACAGGGTATTGCAAAGACTATTGTCTGAAGTCACACTGCCTTTGAAACAAAGTCCAGCTCAACTACTTTTCAGCCATGTGATATATATTCTCAACATTTATGAGCTTTAATTTCTTTATAAATCATAGCAACTAACTGGTCTAAGGACTTCTACACATTGTTAAATTGTATGCTCACAATCATCAAACAGGTATAATTTTCTTTGTTTAACAAGAGTGAAGCAAGACAAGCGAGCAACTTAACGAAGGTGAGACAACTGGTGAATGGCAGATCGTAATATCTATCTTGAGGATTAAATGGGGTAATGTATGATAAATAGCCTAACACAGGAGCAGACACATAATAGCTGATTTAAAAATGGGAGATGCTATTAATCTAAACTGAGAAACAGAGCCCTATTTGCTTACTTAGGGTAAGAAAATGCCAAACTCACTTCTCTTTTCAAGAATGCCTTAAAGGTTTTGTCTCTTTCCCCCTCTACCTCCTTTCTCCTTCCCCTTTCCTTCCTTTGGCTCCTTCTGTCTGCTCTCCTTCCTCCTAAGATTATCCTCACATATATATTTTTTCACAATTTTTGTTGCGATGCCTTTGGTCTATGTCAGACAACTTGATAAGAGACTGGACAGCTTTTGAACGAAGTTGATCAGCCCTGTCCTATGAGATTCCTTTTGGTGTCCCTTGCTGGACATATATTCTGTCCAAGGGAGCCAGTGATACTGGGAGAAGGGAGGCTCACTGCTTTTATCAGTTCTACTGCAATAGTGAATAAGCCCTAAAGGGAAAAAATATATTTAAAGAAAGACACAATCCAGAAAAAGGTGTGGCAAAGATAAAATTGTAATCAGTAACCGCAACCCAACATTTCTATAGTTAAATGCTTTACCAGCTGCTAAGTGATTCTTAATATATATATACACTGTTTCATTATGGGAATTATTAAGGGAAATCCCTTTAAAAGTAAAGAACTAAAGACTCAGCACCGGCTACAGGCAGAAGGAAGCAGGACAGTGTGATCCAAGCAGGAGGCATTCCTGAACAAAACAGTGATGTGGGACAGGGAACACCTGTCCTAAGAAGGCTGCCGGCTCAGTGAGCTAAGAGAAAGGCTTTAGATCCAGAACAGGCACCTTCAATGAGTACCTATCACAGGCTGTCCCCTGTGCCAGGCCAGTTCATTAACCCCCTTAATCCTAATTAGTAGGTGGGTCTGTAGGTATTTGCTATTCCTAATTTTATATATGAGAACATTGGGCACAAAGATGTATAGTGTTAATCGAAGGTCAAGGGCTTAGTTGATAAGCATTAGTACTAGCATTGGTATTTAGATCTTAAATCTCCAAAAATTGCTTTTCCTAATAGAACACACTGCATTTTAAAGGCGGTCCACCATATAGATCTTAGTATAATAAGACACTAATTGGCAAACTATATTTAGAATATTTAAAAAGAAGTCCATTTTTACCTCTACGATTTCTACTTTTTATGATTTTGAATGTGTCTATTTCCAAATAGATGTAACAGATGGAATTGCTGGTACAAATGAAAACAAGAGTGAAACTTTGCTGTCTTCAATAGGTGCTTTCTGAAGCTTCTGTACACGGACCACTGCGATATCCACACATCAAAGCATTTCAAACACAGGCTTACATAGCTGTGTAGCTCAGAGCCCCAGAATGCACTTTGAACTGATAAAAATAGTTGAAAACATCTACTGTTCTGTTTATTTATTTATTTATTTTTAAACAGCAAGCTTCTACTTTAAAAAAAGTGACATGCTAATCAGGCGTTTGGCACAGTGGTTAAGACCCTGCTTTTTGGTTATGCCCACATCCCATACTGAAGGGTCTGGGTTTGAGACCTAGTTCCACTTCCAATCCCAGCTTCCTACTAATAAGCACCCTGGGAGGTAGCAAGTAATGGCTCAAGTATTTGTGTCCCTTCCACCCATGTAGGAGACCCAGATTGAACTCCAGGCTCCTGGCTTCAGCCTGGCCCAGCCTCAGCTGTTGTGGGCATTTTGAAGGTGAATCAGTGAATAGAAGATCTCTATGTCTCTTTTTCTGTCTTTTAAATAAGTAAAAAATAAAAATTAATGTGCTTTCAATGGTTATTTCTCTCTCTCTCTAGTGCATGCACGCACGCACACACACACACACACACACACGAAATAGCCTTTATCTCTTTCTAGATACCCAAAAAGAAATATATGAGAACCGTAGGCAATGTTTGAGACCAAATTACTTAGAGCTCGCTGTTGACTTGGGAAAGTAAGTTCAGACAGGCAAAAAGGAAGAGGACAAAGGCAATGAAAGAAGGAGAGCACAAGAAACATCTCACGGGGAGAAATGCAATGTACAGAGCCCAGTTCAGGGTCAGTGTTCAGTCAGTATTTGCCAAATCAGATTACAGAGGGTTCCTATCCACCCTCTCCCAATTCCCTATTTACATCCAAGTTCCAGTGAGTAGAGAATTACCCCGATGAAGCTGTCAGAATTGGAAAGTTTTGGGTTTATTGTAGTTCTAAGGCACAGACTGCTAACCAAACTCTAAGATTTTTGGATTGTAATTGAATAGGACAATCTTTGTTATAGATGTCTGCTTCTAGGAATGCAGTTCCCAAAAGTTCCTTGTAATGCAATACTTACGGCTCTTTACAAGTACATTTCCTCAAATTCAGTGACCCAGGATAGCAAACTCCCTGATGTAACTTTTAGCACTTGTGAATATGCTATACCTTTTCAATATTCTAGTGCATTCCCTTTATCTACTGACACTGCATTTTTTTCCAAAAGAAATTCATCAAGTTGGTCAGGCATGATTTGTAGTCAAAGGCAGCTGCTTACTCCTCCAACATGATAGCTACCTGGCTTTCTGCACTCCTATTACCCACTTCACAAATTCATACGGATATGAAGCCTCAAAAGAACAAAATAACTAACATCTTTCTTTCCTCCAAAGAGATAAAGTTATATTGCACAGACAAATATGGAAAAGGATACTCACCATAAGTGCAAATCATTTTACTAGCTTCTCTGAAGAGAAGAATCCCATTAGGAGATGATACATCAAAATTCAAACGCTGAGATCTAAGAAATATAGCAAAAAAATTAGACTATATGTGCAGATGAAGAAATCAAATACAGGTTTAAAATGTCCAGCATTTTCTTTTATTAGAAGCAGCAGCAGTGAAATTATCCCTTAAAGTGCCATTCCATTCAACAACTGTTGATAAAATATGTATGTGAATTCCCTCACTGTTAAGGTACCAGACAATTAAGAAGAGCTATTCCCACTTATTTGTTGACTCAAAGAGTGCATTTCTTTATCTGTCAAAACAACATTCTGACATCCTGTATCCCAGATCTCTCACCTCTTTTCCTGTCATACAAAGTGCTGGATGGATAATGAGAATCATAAGCATAATAATAAAACCCCAGATGTAGATGTGTATGTTTACATAGATACCGAATAGAGATGTCTTTTTACATTTGAATGCTCCTACTGTGCCTAATACACATTTTAAAAACAGATTCTAAAGTGACAGATAGGAAATCCAGGTACCTTTAATACTGCACATATATTTAATGAATCATTTAATACTTCAGGCATATTTCAAACACATTAAATTACACTAAAGATTATAGTTTCCACCACACATACCTTCAGTAAAGAGATACAAATCTCAAAAATTTTCTGAGAACAATTCAACTTCCCTGGTTCCTGACAGACAGGGTAACAGTATGAGCAGCTAAAGAAATGACATGCTATCTTGACATAATATTCCTTTTTTTTTTTTAGTATCATCTTAGTTTTAGTTTGTTCTAATATGCCTTCCTGTTGTTCTTTCAAGAAATAATGATATATTGTTAAAAAGATGAGCAAACAAAACCAAACCAAAAAGTAAAGACATTGCTAAAGTTCTGTTTGTCAGGAATTGAATGAATTCCTGCATTTCCATGCTTTTTCAGAATGCTTTACTGTTTGGTACAATTATATCCTGGAGGTCATGTTATTATAAACATTTCCTATTGGCATACAATTCTTGATTACAGAAAAGGAATGCATATTCATAATTCACATTAGATTCTAGGAAAATATAGACAAAATGATGCATTTTCTGAGATAACACATTTTCACTAGATAATTCTTAGCATAATTGTTCTGGATATGAATTATCTGCCTAGGGCAGACATAAAATCCTTTACAATATTCAATACAATGATTTTTTTGCTTTAATATTAAATGTTGTATCAGTAATACTAATATCAGTTATCTGGCTAAATGTTAGAATTTAATAAGAAAAAAACCCTTAAATTTCCAATAGAAAATAGAAAGCCATTTTCCCCTTATTATTTCAGGCACCAATGAGATTTTTTTTTTTAAACCAACAGCTCTGAAAAAAATAATACTCACATTTCTTTATTTGCCAGGTCTTTTTCCACCTCTTGCTTTAGAGTAAAAATGTTAAATTACTGCTGTGACCAGAGATAAAATTAGAGCTGCAACTAATAGTCCTTCCCTGTTTGGGTATCTCCCTTCCGACACGCAGTTTACAGAGGAATTGATGAGGCAAGATGGCTAAGTGACAGGTAATTTGGTGCTAAGCCATATTCACAATGACATATTTTAAAGAGGTAAACACAATTAGCTTGTTGCAGTTTTCTCTTTTACCCTTTTCTCTTTTATTACTCTTTGCTAATATTTATATGCAGAGTGTTTAAATCTCTGCCAGTCTATGCAAATTATAAGGTCAACTAGGCAATTTCTGAGAAGTGTTGTAGTTGCTATTTCAATGAAAATTGTGAGTGCATAAATCACCCAAATATATGCATCTAGGCATAGAGGAAGAAACATAATTTAGAAGTCAAACCCAGGGATAATCCCCAGAGCTCCTGAGGCAAACAACTATGTGCCCATAAATTGCTCTGGGAGTCAGCGTCTTTATCCATACATGATTCGCCTCTACACAGAGACGTCCAAACTTCTTTCCTGCTTTAAAATCCTGCAGACTTGCAATCAGGTGGTGAAACAGTTAAAACAGCCGCTCTCCCTCCATTTTGTGATTTTGAATAATTTAAATAATGGTGGCTGCAGTCTCCCCAATTTTTTCCAATTTTTATAGTCCTCACATAGACTGAAGTATACTATGCCCTTTCTCGCAAAGGGTCTCAACGTCAAGTCTCTAATCCTATTGTTTTCACGGACCACCTTAAATGGTGGTTCCTGGGATTTTGGTAGGCCTTGAACACACGCACACCAGCTAGGAAAGTGTGATCTCTGGAGAGTCTGAACATAGCAGCAGACTGTTTCTTCACTCCTTGTCACACTGCTTACCTGTTCTGCATCAGCTCTGCCAAGAGTTTCAGGATGGGAGTTGTACACGCCGGCTCTCCATACCACCGTTCAACAGCCCTCTGAAGAATGGGAAGGTATGTTGGGTACCTTTTATAAAGTCTGTTAAAGAATTTAAGGGTCAAAAGACATACTGTTCCTGAAAAAATCAGTGCCACTTAAAAGTGAAAAAAAAAAAAAGGTGGGGAGAGGCATCCACATTTCTGTGTTTAGTGTACAATGGCAGTTTTACAAATCTCTAACCTGTTCAGTTATAAGTTTTTCTGGAGCTGCAAACAATTTGCTGTGCAGAAGACATACCTTTAAAGTATCACACAAAGTTACACACTTAAAGACTCATGTTTAATGTCGTAGGAAAGAAAAACAAATTGAGTTAATGAGGACGAAAACATATTTGAAATATTAGTATCAGGGTTTCTTGGGCACTATACTGAGAACAAACATTTTTTACTATAAGAATTTTAAAACATATAACATCAAAGAGAAACACTAACAAATCCCAAATATCTATCTCAAAGCTTCAAAATTCCTTACATTCTTTTTCCCCCCTTTAAGTTGCTCAGCTCTCTGCTTGGTCCCACTGTAGCTCAAGGAACACCTGGGATGCCAGCCTGAAGAAAAGCTTTGGCTAACTATTAATCTGCAAGGTAGTGCACCAAAAGGGAGCCTCACATACGTGCAAGGCACAATCCTCAAACCCCTTCATTAACACTAAGGACTGGATGCCTCCGATAAACCATCAGAACCTGGAAACCTGACTCAGTTCCACTGGCCCTTTTCCCCATCACTGGCCTTTTCCTTGCCCAATGGACACACAAATATAGGATTAAGGAACAGAACTGCAGAAAAAAAAAAGCTCTATGCCACTGTCTTCCTCACCGCCCTCCCCTCTCCCCACCCTGTTCTCTCTTTCTGATGTTTCCCAATGTGTCTGTCTTTTTGTTTCAGAACAAAGTGCTGAAGTGAATCACTTCATGGTGTTCCCGTTCTGTTACAGGTAGAGATCTCCAGGTAAGAATGGTCACCACAAGTTTCTTCTAGGCTCTTAACAATAAATATTAAATTCCTTAGCATGGCATATAAGGCCCTTTAAGATCTGGTTCCTTTCTACCTCCATTCTCATCTCTTAATGCTTCTGCTCTATCTATGGCTGGGCTATTCATAACTCCCTACACGGCCACGGACGCCGACACCCGTCTCTGTTCTATATACTGCTTCTGCTGCCTACCACATCCCTGTCTTTCAATACCTAGCTCAAGTTTCACCTCTCCTGAGATGCCTTCTCTATTTTGTCAAAAGGGCATCAGCCTCTTCCACATCTTTGTTCAATCAGCACTCCTGACCACTTCTCTCTTATAACAGTGTATTAGAGTTGATTGCTCATGTCATCCGTCTGCCTCATTAGATGGTGAATTTCTACAATCTCTCTGCTAACTCCTATTTTACCCTAAGATTTCAATACAGGTGTCAGGAAGAATTATTCCAGGAAGCCTTTTCTGACCTTGTGTGAACACCCCACTCCTATGTCCTGATATGGCGGTGGAACCCTGTGCTAGTACTGTCTATTTCTCCTACTTTAAGTTTTTTGAGGGTAGGGACTGAGTCCCTATACATGCACAGGATTGGTACAAAGTAGATTTCAACATACTGTACTTGTTGTCAACCTGCCAACCTCAAAATGAGGTGTAGCATATCTGGTTGGAACTACTATTTAGAAGTGGGTGTTGCACTGCAGTGCGTTAAGCTAACCCGTGGGATGCCTGCCTCCCGTATGGAAGTGCCTAGGATGAAGTCCTGCTTCTGCTTCCCATCTAGCTTTCTGCTAATGCACATCCTGGGAGGCAGGAGTTGATGGCTCAAGTGCTTGAGTTCTGCCACCCATGTGGGAAACCCAGATGGAGTTCCTGGCTCCTGGCTTTGGTCTGGCTCAGCCTTGGCAGTTGTGGGCATTTAAAGGGGAGTGAACTAGCAGATGGAAGATACTGCACTCTGCTTTCCAGAAAAGTAACAAAAAGGAACTACTATTTAAAAAAATCCTTAACTGTGCATTTTACTCTGAGGTTTTAGAAAAATATCTGCATAATGTTCCAAGAAAAGAAATGCTTTAAAGCCTTAAGAGTAGAATGCTCCCTAAAAGTGAAAAGAAAAAAACTCCTTTGCCAGAGATACCATGTCAAGTTTCTATTTGCATATACACAATTTAACAAATACTTACCGAAGTCCTACTCTGTAACAAGCACTGTCTTAGACTCTCTGCAGACACCACTGAACAAAACACTAAAAAATCCCTGCCCTCATGGAATTTAATTCTCATAATATATAAAATAAAAAAAATTAGAAAGTACTTCAAAGGAAACTAAAGTAGCGAAGGGTGAGAAGTGAGTGTATAGGTGTGAGCGAGGTTTCAGTGGGATGAAGACGAAAAAAGTCCATCAGTGAATCTGAGGACTAGCTTTATTTTGGCTGTTGTCAGATAATTACTGTTTTGTTTTTTCTAAGGACTAGGGAAGCTGCTATTTCTGACAAACAGTAGAAGCTAGGTGTGATGTTCTGTGTGCTAGGGGCCAGCGATCGCGAGTTAGGGAAGCCACGGCTTTTATACTTAGGGAGTTTGTGGTCATTTCAGGATGGCAGACATGTAAGAGGGACGCTTAGAGTATTACAAGTCTGAAGCAGGGCCAGAGAAGCCAGGTGAGAAAATATTTCACCAAGACATCTCCTGAGCATAAACCTAGTCATCATTCATGGAAAAGCATCAGGGAGCTTCATCGGGAAACTGAGAAGATCCAAGTCTCAGGACCTCAGAATACTGGAGGCACACCCGGCCCCTTTGCAAAGCACTCTGAAGGCATTAGGGCCATCATATTTTTCAGAGCACACTGCATTCACTGTGGGCTAAGGCCGGGGTACGAGGGGATGCTCCCTTTCCTGTCTGGAATGAGAGTGCTGACAATTCTAATATGCTTCTGACAGAGGTGACTGCCACAGAGAAAATGAGTGATTATTGGAAAGCAGAGAGGAGGTCTACTAAGCAGGGAGGTTAAAGGGCTTCAGAGTGGGATGCCAGGCTCAGATTACGGGGTGACAGTCCGGACCCACTCCGGGAGTTTAATTTTCCAGCGGTCTTGTGAGGACTACATAGACACAGATAGGAGCAAGAAAGTGGGGGCCCTTAGTGGAACATGCACAGATCAAATTGCTTTCATATACCCCTTCTCAATGAATTCCTACTTTCTGTATCAGATACATGAAAAATCAAAGGCATTAATGATAGGACATTTCCTTATGGGATGCCAAATATGAAAAAAATGAAAAGTATCAGGTTTTGTTCTTCCCATGCATTCATCCATCCATTAGTAGTAGTTACTACCTGCTGGACCCCAAGAAAACAGCAATGAGTAAAAACAGAATTCTTTTCTTTTGGGGTTTCACAGTAGAGAAGGCATCATATACATTAGAAGGCAACATCAGAGTTTTTGTTAAAATTCTTATGAGATGAGGGTCTGAGGATGTGGTTCCAGAAAAAAAAATAGCCTGCCAGTTCAGAGCTCGTTTTAAAGGTACTCCATGAACACGCAAATACCTGGATGCTTTTCCATGATGGTAACTGCAGCTGCTGGAAGCCTTTCCCCTCTTTCATCTGGAAAATATGGGTTTTTCAAAGTTGAGTTAACTCAACTTTCACTTCTTCTGGGAAGCCTTCCTTCTTTTATCCAAAACACCAAACTCTTCCTCGTATATTGTCATATGACATTTTGCATGCACCTTTGTTGACATTTAATTGTTTATTAGTTTTTCACATACTCATAAGGCTGTGAGCTTCTAAACAGCAATATGTTTTATTCATTCTTGTGCTGCATGTGCCTGGCCTGGAACACTCACAAAAATGCTAGCTGAACGGTGATTTTTTTTCAGATTTGCTTTCTTCCCTATTTTAGTTTGTCCAATGTGATATTGCCAATTATTTTTTTCTTGATTTTGTTAGTCAAATTCACCCATTGATTTATATTACCTATGGAATTCACTTAATATTCAAGGGTCCCAGAAAACTTACATACTTCCAACCATGAAATAAGTTGTCCATAATAAAACATCTTCTTCATTATTCACTTCCTAAACCTGGTGGTGATGAGGACAGCAGAAAATCTCTCTGCCTATTTCCACACGGTCCAAGCCCTACACGATTTGGTAAGATCCAGAGCCTTTCCCAATTCCCCAGCTAAATACAACCATTCTTCCATTTTATCTATGGCACTTTTCTAGATTTTATTATAAGTCATTTATATAGATATCTAACTGACTCCATTAAATTATAAGCTCACTCTGGGTAGGATTTGTGTTGATGTAATCTATATCCCTCATGAAATCTAGTACATTGGACTGAGGAGGCCTAATTTGTTGAATAAGTGAGTAAACAGGATTCCTTTGTCTCATTACATATTAGGGAAAGGAACAGCAGTGGAGTATTTACTTTCTGCCAGACATTGTAATAAGCCCTTTACATGATCACAGACGCAGACACTCAACATTTCCCGCAACATATCAGTCAGACAAGTATTCACAGTCCCATTACACAGAAGAGAACACGGATGCTGGGACACTAACTTACCCAAGATCCACAGGTTGTTGAGTGGTGGAACAAAGACTAAAGACTGAGAATACCCCCTTTCAAAGTTTGTGCTCTTTCACATATCTCATTGTTTGGCCTTGTCTTTGTATAATATGTTTACACACACTGACAAACAGCCCCGACTGCCTGGCTCAAAAGTGAGCTCAAAAGTCTTATGAGTATTAGGAAAACAAGAAGACCCAGTGTGGGGGCCGGCGCTGTGGCACAGGTTAATCCTCCACCTGCAGTGCCAGCATCCCATATGGGCGCCGGTTTGAGTCCCTACTGCTCCATTTCCGATTCAGCTCTCTGCTACGGCCTGGGAAAGCAGTAGAAGATGGCCCAAGTGCTTGGGCCCCTGCACCCATGTGGGAGACCCAGAAGAAGCTCCTGGCTCTGGATTGGCCCAGCTCTGGTCATTGCAGCCATTTGGGGAGTGAACCAGCAGATGGAAGACCTCTCTCTGTCTCTGCTTCTCTGTCTGTAACTCTGCCTCTCAAATAAATAAATAAAATCTTAAAAAAAAAAAAAAAAAAGACCAGCATGAGGAAATAATGTCATACACATTCCTTTCCCCACCCCAACCCCCAGCTTCCCTCTGGAGTCTTGATACTTCAGCCTCGGTGTGATCCGAGAAAAGTTTAAACGAGGTGATTAACTGCACTGTAAGGAAAGGTGTTTGCTTACTGCTGTGTTCCTACTATAGGAGCAAAGAAGTAAATCAATGATCCTCCTTCAATTCTCCAGTCATGGAAACTATTTGTCAAGATGGTTGCTATGTAGTTTCAGGCAATTTAGTTTTGGGAGGACACAGTGATAAGCAATGTAGTTTGTGTAGCAGTTAATGCAGTCAGTATTTACAGAAATGTTTCTGAATTAAATAGCTAACCACTAAAATACCATTTTATCAAATAATCGCCATAAATAAAATGCATTTTGACTTTAAGATGACATGTACTCTTATAGGATGTTTCTTCTGCATACTAAGGATTGTATAACAAATTAAAGAACATAACACTTATGTGGATAAAAGGCAAATAAACTTTCCCCAGCAGTAATGTGGGAATCATCACTGACGGTTTGACATATCAATATTTCAGGAAGAACAAATGACTTTCATATCCATGTTATTTTTATCATATATTTATTCATTTTTGCATTACTTTAATACTTTGGAAAGAATCTGTACTTTATCACCTGAAACTGCTTAAAGTATTTTGAAATATTTTAATAAAGCTTTTTGAATTATCAAATAATGCAACTTTTAAACAAATTTTACTATTATTATAAATATTTGCTCTTCATCCCTTGCCCAAAGGAGAACTATAAATCTTGTCTCAACTGAATGAACACCATTTATCATATTCATTTCGTTGTCAATACAATTATGAAAAGCCTTTGGCCTTTTCCCAAGGAAGCTGATTTGCTACTGAAACTCAATTATTATAAGCAAGGCCAGTACCAAACCACCCTATTTGGCAATCTAACATAGCTTCCTGCATAACTGACACTTCGCCCTCCGCCCCTGACCCTAATAACGTCAACATCTATGGTCAAATGGAGGAGACAATGGTTTCTAGTTCAAAACAAAACATTCAGTCCCAACATTTTCCATTTGCTATTTTCTGCCATCTGCTGGACAAAAGTTTTATTTCAAATAAGTGTCAAAAAGAAGGAACTGAGATAGGAAATGGGAAATAGACTGAATTAAAAATAATCTTCTATAAATTTTGGTCAGTATCAATTATGGCAGATATTTCTAGTAACAATGAGTGGGAAGTTTCTGATCACGATTCAGTTAAAATTGCAAAACAGGGCAACATGAAATGCTAATTGCTGGACAGTCTAGAGTTCTACCTGGTTTTCTACAACCACATCAACTTTAAAGTGTCAAAACTAGATTTTGTGATTTTTTTCAAATGAAAGTTTTGGCTTTTGGAGATGCTTAGAGAAATTAAAGGGTCATGTGTAATTCTAGTTTGTCCTTCGTGTACATTACATGCTGATATAAAACATGTACATGACTCCTCAAAGACAGAAAAATCTCTCTAACCTTTCCTCGGCCACATAAATCTGATGAAGAGGTTTTAATAGTAATTATAAAGATAGGTCAGTACTCAAATTAATATGCAAGAATTTTCAGTCCTCCCTAAAATATGCTCAGATCCCCATTAGTTATGTTTTTGGTCACAACCGTGGCATGGCAGCTGAAAATTATCTTTTGCATATTATATCTACATATGCATATGATATCTACATATGCATATAATATCTACATATGAAGTAGATATGGCAAAAAAGTTAAAAACTGCCAAATCTTAAAAAAAGTGTCAAAAAAAAGAAAAGTTTTTTTTGCAATCTGATTTATAAAGGAAGTTTGAATTTGAACAAAACAACCGAGAAACAGTGTGACTTTAAAAGGAAATTAGTTTTCTGACTACAAATTTTTTTATGGGCTCTGATGGCTTCACGTACAGAAGGCGTGAATCATTGTATTATACTTAGTTTGACTTGTATAAATTATCACTTCCTATTAGGATTGAAGCTATTCATAAAATACTATTAAAATAATATTAACCATTTATGGATACTGAATTTGTACGAGCCATTATATAAAGTAATTATGTACTTTTGTCATAGTAAGTAATGCTACTGGGCGGTCTCTTTTTGAACACCATGAAACCAAGTCTCAGAGAGGTGAGATGACTTACCCAGGTTTACACAACAAATGAAGAGCTGGGCCTTCAAGTCTGGTCCATCTAACACCAGTCTACGCTCTTTTTTGCTGTTTACATGATGAGGCATTTCTGTGGGGGATTTTAACATTTTTCTGTCTGTAGTAAGCCTTGGCAAAGGTAAATTTTAAATGAAATGACAAATCCTGGCCATTTATCTCTCCCCTTTCGTATCCATTAATATGATGAAAACCTGCAGCATGATGAGTTAAGCCTCAAAGAGATAAAGTGACCTTCTGAGCCTTGCTAATTGAGATGAAGTAGAGATTCAAATCTCCTGGAAAATGCCAAATGGTAGTATTCATTGATCCCAAGTAAAGATGTTAGCCAGATTATCTCTGCAATCCCAGCATAAACAATCGTTTGGGGGAAGTGATTTTTAAGTTGTCAATATTTAATGGCACCAAAAAACTGACCTCTCTGAGCTGGGTCTCCAAATGCTGTGCTCAGTTATCTGCACTGCTGCCACTGTGCTGTAATTTTTAGCTGATTACACATTAGTTCATTTAGCTTTGTTTCCTCTTCCCTACTGTGCCATACTATTAAACGAAAGCGAGGGGCCTGGCATCCCTCTGTGCACAGAGCTGGTATTGTCACAGTGTAATAAGGATACATCCAGTCAAACAGCATGGTGTAGCTGGTCTTTGTGTTCAGTGCAAAGGCAATCCCTCGAAGATCTCTTGCCAGCCCGATCAACATACGCTGTCAGTGGGAAAGAGATACAGTAATTGATTTTCACGTTAGCGCAGAGCAGATGGAGTAATAATCAGGCAATAATGACCACATATCTGATTTTGATTCATTAGCTAAAATGTCTCGCTCAGATCCCTTTCTATAGAAAACCATAGACTCTTTAAACAAACAGAACATCAAATCTGTTCACCAACTCCACTTTGCTTCGTATAAATGGAGCTAAGTAATAATTTCAGTAGCTTAGGAAAATTTAAATTAATACATCTTGTTTCTGAATAATGCTAAAGTAGAAATAAAAATAATAATAAAGCCAGGATCACAAAACAGATATGCCCAGGGTATGCACATTATTTCATAGCAGCAAATCTTAACAATATCAACTTGTATGAAATTAGTCTTTGATAGTTAGTGTCTACCTTGGAAACATATTGGCATCTAAAGATTCCTAATGAATATCTTTAATGACTCTGGATAAAATAAAACTGGCTCAGTGACCCACTGGTACTATGATGTACTCAGAATGACAGTCACATTCCCCAAGCAAGGAAAAGACATAAGAATAAAAGAGTTCTATATTTGATGTCCTAAGGCTTGAATTTGAATCCCAGTTTTATTTAAGACTTAAGGCAAGGCAACTTATCAGTCTCAGTTTTCTCACCTATGAAAGGGGTTAATAATGCCTCTTTCACAGAGGTACTATGATGAATAATTTAAGAAATTCACATAAAAATGTCTAGCCAGAGCCTGATACGCAGCAAGCGTTCCACACACATAAACTTTTAGAGGAAAACAAACAGACCCTTGACTCGCATTCTGGACTCTTAATTAAGCTGTCCTTAGGATAATGCTTGGAAAGATAAAAAGGAAACCCATGAACAGATGCCAGGATGTCAGAACAAAAAGCACAAACAAACATAACTGCAAAACAAGGTGGTTGGATAACTGAGATAAGCAACTGTGATTTCTGAAGATACTGTTTCAGTAGAAATATTCTACCAGAAAGTGCTCTCTAAACTCCTTTTCTTCAGATTTTCTCTTTCTTCATACTTTGGTAATTAATGAAAACCTTTTTAGCAAGGAGTTTAAATTATCATTAGGGAGAAGGCAACACATCCTGATCTTCATCTTAATGACTGAATACCATTTCAAAGTAGCAAATTAGAGTTAAACTGTCGGAAAGTATCTGAAATTTTTCATCCTCCCTACTCTTCCTAAAAGTTGATTTGACTTAACCAGGTGTTGACTACAAGAGTATTTAATTTATGTGTAAGAATGATGGTTTCCTATATTTCTGAATCTGAGAACTCTGAATTTCCGTGTCTGCTTCTTTAAAATGACCTACTTTTTCTCTCATAATCTTACCAGTCCTTGTTTTTCTATAATTGGCCGGCCTCAATGTAGTTACTTCATGTGACCTGCTATTAAAACACCACCAACAGCAACAGCAACAGCAACAGCCAAAAATCTAAATCATTCTGCCTTTTGCTTTTCTTTTACCACCTGGAACTGTTCTCCTCCTTCTCAGCTTTCCACGATCTATGCAGTCTCCCGAACAAAACAGAACCTCTAAGGAGCCTTCCTCGAACAATTCTTACTACTGTGTTTGCAATCTTTCTACTAACAGTCTTTTTGTTCTATTTTTAATTTATGTACAAATACAGGTAAAAGGTGACTCTTCAAATAATCTTAAGTTTCTGCACACGTATAAGATACTCATCACTCAACTCTAAATTTGTCATCAGGAACCATGAGTTTTACTTTCCTTGTGGCTAGTATAAAGGCTCTTAGTAAAATATTTATTGCAGTCTCATTGTACAGAGGTTAATTTTTAGTTGATCATAAATCTTCTTTCCTTAAAAGATGCCAAGGTAATAGAAATGCTTTAACTAACTCAAATCTACAGTTCTTCTGATTGCAGTAAAATGTGGCTATGAAATTGTATCCTACCAATTCATTTCACTTTAGAAAATAGTACAAAGCAGAGGAAACACATGATAACTAAATTTATGTTTTAAATAAATTCCACAGGGTAGGTATATGTGAATAAGATACAAATTTCTTATGCTCAAAATTATCTCTTATCTCAAAGCAGAAGAACAAAGTCCTATAATAATCCACACAGACACACTAGCGTACTAACAGAGTATTTCCTCCATAGTTACAACATACCCTGCTCTGGAATGAGACAGAACCCTGCTAACTAGAAGCTCAATCAGGCTGCTAACTAATCTGGGAGCTAAGAGGTGATCTGATGGAAATTTAGGGGGGGAGGAGCCACGGTTTACCATCTCATTTAGAATAGCACAAAGAGGTCTATTTTTAAAGTTGCCTTTCTCCTATGATTGGTCAACACTAGATTGATCTGAAAATAATTTTAGTAAGGCAATTCTGCGGAGTATGGCAAGTCTGGGGATCTACGTGGATTCCTTTTTTGGACAGTTCAAGGAGAAACTGATGAGTACTTCAGTCCGCTGCACGGTGGAAGTTGTCTGCGTGCCAACTGCGAGACAGATAGGCTGGGAAACAGCTGAAACGTGGCTCCTTCCACCCTGACCCCCAAAACAGGGTTTCTAATGGAAAGTCTGACAGACCCTTTACTGTAGTGGCACTACTGGGGGCGGCTATAATATTATCCTCATAATTCTACTATATAATAACAACAAAGAAAAAGAAGGTGAAGGGTCATTGTGCTTTGTCTTTAGAATTAAGATGGCTGTCTTCATCCTTACAGCATACTCTTAATTCTGGAGACACATCTTAATAACCTCTAAATAGTTCCAACAAAAGAGCCGTGTCAGAGGAATGAGCAGGCCCCAAGGTGTTTCAACTGGAGTGTTTTCATCTGCCTTTATTGCTCTATCCCTCTCCAGAATTAAGGCAATAACCTGTGATAAATTATTCAGGAACTGCTACAGGGATCAAAGCAAAATCATTCTGTTAAAGTGCTGTTTGCAACATTTGGCACTTAGTGCGAAAACTTTTAATGTGCGCATGCTGAAAATCAAGGATTTTAAATAATTTAACATTGTGGAGTTTTCACGAAGGGACTAAAGATAGCAGGTTCCTATTTAACTGCTCCTCTTCCTCTGAGAAGCTTTCATTCATTTTCCTTGAAACCTCTGACGTCATGGCCAAATCACAAATGCTGCATGAGTCAGGGGAGTACTAGGCTATATTTCACAATGGATAAAATTATAGCAGGGAAACACATACTCTGAAATAATACTCCAGAGCTAGGATTTGTCACAGCATTTTCTTTTTTCCCCCTTTACTTGGAGAGCAAAACCCAAGACAAAAATTCAATGTTCTCTTCAATTTCATTAGGACTAAGTAAGAAAACAGAGCTATAAATTTAAGAGTTTCGCAGCCTTTTCTCTCCTCACAACCATATTTCAATTTGGCAACACAGGTCCTTAATGTTTAAGTTCATGTTGAAATCTGCATTTGAAAAATATCTACAAATACAGAGTAGAAAATCCTGGTAAGGACTGCAAATTAAATGAATTTGGCAGTCCTGCGGCATTTTCATAGAGATATTTTAACAGCATCACCTCCTGTGGGTTGGAATACTAAATACTTTATTGAGGAACAAAACAGAACTGTTTTTATCTCTGGTACTTGCAAAATGAAGTACCTGAAAGCACTTTTGCATGTATTATTTATTCATCATGATAGAAAAATAGCCTTAACCTAATAAATTACATTTAAAAGCATTTAGTGCAAAAGTTTTGTTTATGATAGAGCAACAGATTTAGTTCTTTATCGGTAGCTTAAAGCACCAAGTTTTCTTTATACAAATTAGACAGATGGTGCTTACAGTAGAATTTACTAAAGGTCTGTCACAACAAATGCAGCCAAGCTGCATATTTAATCACTGCAGAATCTTGTCTACCTGCAGCTGCCAACTGCTAATCCAATTTCCCTGATAAATGTGGCAAGAGACACGATCAGCAATAAAGAGCATCTAACTCCATTTTCCTGCAGGGCGTCTTTTGATGAACATTTAGGACGGAAGCACGGAGTGCACTGTGTGGCCTTGGTTCGTGGCAGCTGCATGCATTCTGAGGCACAGTTCTCAGGTTACTCACTTAATTCTGCCACTATCATTACGTTGCTATTGATCTCAGTAGCTGTTGCCTACACAGCATTACTCTAGATGAAGCTGAATCAGGCAGTTATCATGCATCAAACTTGCTCAAAAGCCTGGAGATTTCCCCTTAATTACTTGTGATTTTATTTGCAAATACCGTTAAAGTGTAATCAAGCAGTCACTTTCCAGGGTCGTTAAGAACTTGCTGGTTTAGGGATATATCACTGGAACTCCATTAAAAATGACTCTGGGAAGATGGTTTCTATCAAACTAGATGGGATTACATCAAAACAGGCTTGCAATATAATGAAATCTTCAAATGAGACAAATGTAATTTTTATAAAGATGGTGTTTTTCAACTTCACTGCTTCTTTGTGATAAAGGGCAGCAATCGCCATTTTAAAGCTACATAGATACAGCTGATCATTAAAAATATCTGGAAGACATCTAAAAAATACAGCTAACCTGCATGGAAACTCTGGTGAAGAATTTCAGCAAGACACAAACACAAAGAAAATCTGTCAGATCTTTTTTGGTTTCAAATTTCTATGACCTTGCAGCCTGATAAAATATTCACTTCAAAAGCTGAATTTTTAAATTCAAACATATACCATTTGGCTAATTATTTTTTTGGTAACAGATTTACACAAAAATTCATCAAATGTAATAATTTTTCTGCTTGGTTTCCTATTGCTATTTTTCTTTTTGGAGAAGAGAGGAAAAGTCACACAAAAGATGGTTAATACTTTCAATGTATATTAAATAACAATAAAATATGACCCAATCATCACCAACATAGGTGCCTATGTCCTCTGGAGTGCATTTATTAGTCTTTTAAAAATAATAATCAGTGTCAGCCTATTTAATATAGCCTGGATACATTATAATTTCAGGAGCTACTGTTTCTATTTAGCAGAGCTTGTGCCTCCCATCCCCCACATTAAATATGGGGCTGTTTTGTCACAAACAGCGTGCTACACTTAAGGATTTTACTAATAAAACATAATGTTGTCTAAGATATTATGACTGTTGCCACAGCTGAACTGACTTGTCAAATCAATCCTAATATGGCTCCCACAGGCACATAAAAACCTTATTTAGCTATCAGTTATCCTAATCACTTTGTTCAGTTTAAGAATGCAATACTTCAAGACCAGCTCCTATTTATACATATATGCCTAGCCATTTAATAAAGTCTTGATTTATATAAATTCTTGTTTAAAAAAATATTTAGAGATGTAGTGTTTTAGCATGTGTATGTTTGTGCATTCCTCTATATAGATGTTGAAACATTTAGTGCAGGGTAGATATTTATCATGCAGTACCATGAGAAATGTTTTATTAAAGATGGTAACTGCCATAAGAGACATACCTGTGCCATTTAATTATGAACGGAATGTCCAAAACCATTCATTGATCTTAAAGTCCATTTATGTAAGAACCTAGGAAAATCCATCTATGAAAGACATATGCAATTAGGAATGCAGGTCAAAGGAGGCGTGGAGTAAACACAGATATGCAAAACTCTTTTCTGGATCTCGACATTCTAGAAAGAGCGCAAGTGTCTTTCCTCATGCTTGGAAACAAACCCACCTTCACTTCTTCCTGTTTAAAGTTGTTGTTGAATATCTGTAATACTGTTTCAAAAGAGACTGTAAGAGGCAGCATGAAATTTTCAAATTCATCTTCATCTTCGCCTATCAGAGAAACAAAAGGGTCACCATGGTTTAAAATGCATGCTATTGTACATTGGCCCCAATGCCCAGTGTTTCACTGAAGCTTAGAAGTCTTCCCAACAAGGGGTCAGGCTGTATTCACATCCAGGCCACATTTTGTGCTCTGGCTCATTGAATATTCTGGTCTTTTGCCTACTCTTTTACACCAAATGAAATAGCAAAATTACTTACCAGCCATTTTTCCCCCCTAGCTCTTTATTGGAACTAACAGATTCTTGCCCCAGGCACCTCAGCCCTTTTGCTTCTAGGGCCCCCAGAGCTTCCCTAATGCCTCAAGGAAGGCCACTTTTCAAAGCCTCAGAGACAAGGGTCTTTCTTTCCCCTTCTCTTTAGGTGCCAAGGCCCTAGAGGGCTCACAGACTCAGGTGCCCAGATAGCGCTCCGTTATTATTCTTTTATTTATATTCTTTTTTTTTTAAAATTAATTTATTAAATAGGCGGCAGGGAAACTTTTATCTGCCAAAAAGGATAGGGCCTCTCATGGATCATTTGGATTTTAACTACATTTCCTCTTGGGCTAAGCTTCCTTTACTTTATAGATAAAGGAGTCAAAAGATATTTCCCATTAATTGTTCATTTTAAAGGTAGACTAGTTTCCTTAAGAATTCTGTCAAAACAGAATCTTCACACATAGATATGCACAAATGATAATTTTTATACAATTTTTTAAAAAGAAGTTCCTTTTAAATGTGCTTGGATTCTCCCATTCATCCTATGTCAAAGGAAGCTAGGAGCTTCCTTTTTGGTGTTTTAGTGTTGAAGAAACAAGCAGAAAAAAGTGAAGTGTTTTGCTTAAGATGGCCTGATTAGTTGTAGGTAGAACTATATGATTCAGACCCCCTGATTTCCTACTCATCTCAAGCGAGCTTTAGAGAAGAAAAAAGATTTTAGAGAAAAGACCAGTGGTCCTCAAAATTTGGTTCTTGACCCAGGAGCATCAACATCACTGGGGGACTTGTTAAATGCAAATTCCCAGGTTCTATCCCAGACCCAAGGGAACAGAAACTCTGGGGGCACTGTCCAGCAATTTGTTTTAACAAGGCCTCCAGGTGATTCAGATCTCTACAAACATCCGACAAACACTGAACTATATATATCGTTGCACAGTAAGAAAACTACAGCCCAAGATCATTCGCAGAGGATCACTGGTGGAATCGGGATCCTTTGATTCTTAAGGAATGCCTGATCAGCTGAACCTTCACTTCTCGTGATTTCTCTCTTCCTTTCAACCTTACATGGTTTGTTTCAGGAGTCCAACAGAATAAGGAACTTGGCTTTATTTGCAAAGAGATGCCGAAAGGTCAACGAATCGGTGCTGTTCAGGACCAGGCTCAGGGTCTTGGATGAAGAGTAAGAGCTGAACAAACTATAATCTCTGCTGTGTCAGCTGACTTGCAACCAAATTCTTAGATTCGCCCGTTCTGTCAACTGGTAATAACAGAACTATACAGAAGCTATTATTCTGCAAGGCCCAGGCCAAACGCCAGACTTCCTAATGTCTGAGCTAAACTCTTCCCACTTTCACTGCAAGTATTTTCCCTTTTCTCTTTGGTTTTCCATAGCATTACGTTGGACTATAACATCATTTTGCCTTCAACTGCAGACATTTAAGCATATATCTAATACTGCTGCTACTATTGTAACATCACCAAGATCATACCACTACTACCACCATTTGATCAGGATTACTGTGGGGATTAAATGAGATAAAATTTACAATGTGTATATATGCGAACTACTAATTCTACCAGCCTACACTGAGAATACCTTCACCTTAGCTTCTTGAAGAGCAGAAACTGTGTAACTTTATGGTTTTCTGTGAAAGAAAATGATGCAGGACCCTATAGTAAACAGGCTCAAGTATCTGATTCCAACCTGTATTTGTACTGTTTAGTTTACTGTATAGTAATGTACAGTTTACTAACTTTATAGTTTACTACCCACTGAGTCTCAATTTTTTACCTATAAAGTAAGGATACAATATCTCTCTTTGAGGGTTGTTATGAAGATTAAATGTTATAATCCGTGACAAGTAGAAGATGCTCAATAAGTAGTCATGGTGGCACTAGTATTACAGTATTAGCACTAGAACAGTGCCTGGCATACTCATATATTAGGGAAATACTGTGTTTAAGTGAAAAGTAGTTGCTCAACAAAGGTAAGTTTTATTTATGTTTTTGATGTTTATTTCATCTTCATCTACTATGAAGAAGAAAGAGAGAGAGAGAGAGAGAGAGAGAGAGATCCATCTTCCATTTGCTGGTTCACTCCCCAAATGCCCACAACAACAAGGGCGGGGGGAGGGGGTCAGGTTGAAGCAAGGAGCCTGGAACTCCATCCAGGTTCCCATGCCAGGAGCAGGGGCATAAACACTTAAGTAATCATCTGCTGCCTCTCAGGTGTATTAGCAGGAAGGTGCATTGGAAGCCGTAGTGCCATCAGCACCTGATGTGGGATGTGTCTCAAGTAATAGCTTAATCTGCTGTGTCACAACACCTGCCCAAGCTAAATTTTAGAATGTTCTTATTTTCTCAATATCTGATAAACAGTAATAAGTAACTAAACACTATCAAATCCTAAACAGATAATATATGTGTACATTGCATTTAAACCATATAATGTTACTCTTCTAAGATAAAAGTACTTTCTAAATGTGGACTATTTAATGGGAACAGTGATAGGAATAGTAATGGGAACTGCAGGCAAATCAGGGTGCTGGAAAGAGTGGATACTTTGAAATCAGAAGTTTATCTAGGCTTGATACCTGGTTGTGAGTTAAGTCACTTTACTCATCTAAGCCTTAGTGTGCTCACCGGTAATTAAGAGACATAATATTTACTTCATCAAGTTAGCTGTGAGGATTAAATAAATGAGAAAACACCTGCAACTCCCCTTGCTCAATGCCAGGCACTTAATAAATGACAGCCATTAACATCTTTGTAATCTTCTGTTTAACATGGACTTAGAGAGGTGATTATGGTAATCAAAGTGTGACCAGAAGATTGTTAGCCCAGTATTCTTCCTCTGGGAACAAAGCTTTTCCATAGTAAAGATGTTTATTCAGAACAAAGACAAATTCAGTATTTTAACATTTCAATTCCTCAATTAATAATCTGAGCTACGCATCAAAGAAGTTCCTGACTCCACCTCTTTCCCCAGTGAAGACAAGCCACCAGCATGTGTAAGGAGAAGTTAAGGCAAATAGCGCTGGCAATGAGCAGCAATTCTACTTGAATGTCACTTCCTCAGGAGGCCTTCCCTCACCACTCTGTTTAAACTGGTACCCAAGTGCCACCTCTCCCATCGCTTTCCAACCCTATAACCTGCTTTAATTTTCACAGGACACTTTCTATAATTGGTTATTAATTTATGTGTTTATTCATTTGTCATTTGTTTTCTCTACTAGAATGTAAGCTTCTTGGAGGAAGGAACTTAGTCTATTCTGATCATGGCTACACAGCCTCAGTGCCTAGAGCAGGGCCTGGCACTTAAGAAATATTTGTAAAGTGACAGTAACAGTAGTTAGTTCCTAAGCGCTTATTATGTGCAGGTAATGAATTTGGTACTTAATTTACTTGAAAAACACTGATGTGGCTCTTATGCTGTTCAAAGCACTATGGCAAGTCATTGCTGGTCACACCACTCCCAGGAAGTGGTCTGATTCCCTTCAGTTCACATGTAAGCAGAGAGACTCAGAGGTGTTAAGTGTTGTCCATCATCCTCGTGTCTCTGATAGGGTAGAAGGCATTGGGGTGGGAACTGCAGACAATGTCACAAAACCTTGAGCTTGGAGCTAAATGAAGTCAGAAGAGAACAAAGAACAACCAGCTTGGTTCTAGTGAGGAAAATGGATTCCCTGGCAATCACTTGAGATTCAGGTAGGCAGGCAAAAGTGAGACTTGGGTTCCTTATTACTCCAGAAATGTCTGTTTCAGTTAGCACTGTTCCTCTGTTATGGCAATGTGGTATGTTCTATCACTTGTGCTGGAGAACTGGCCAGTTATGTGTACATTATGTAAACAACCTTATTCACTATCTGTTAAAAGATCTTTTCCTCATCTGTATCACTCATACATGCTGAAGTTTCATTTACTGTTTCTGATGTGGAAGGAGAAAATATGAGCTCACCCTCTTACAACTTCATATTCAAATATGCAGTCGCATTTTAACACCCCAATGTATAGGTAATTGTTCCATGAAAAGTAATCAAAACTGCCTACCAAGGACCCAGAAATCAATATTATTTGAAGGTAAATGCCAATTTACAAGCTAATATTTTCATTGGTATCAGGAAAAGTAAATTATTAACATAATATTTTGCAAGCCCTTAATCATGCACAGAGAGAAATGATAAATTCTTTGACTTTGATGTTAAAAGCCAAAAACTAATCAACCTGTACTGGATTTCGAAGGCTATGATTCAACAGTAACAATTTTCTAAGTTCCAAGCAAATTTTTTTTTCAGAGAAATCATGTCAGAATAGTAACTCTTTATGTTTTCTATCAGACATTTTATTTTTTATTTCTACATTTCATTTATTACACAGTTTAAAACCTTGAATTGCATGGTGCAATGTAAAATGGCAAAGCCGATATAATCTAATGCAGACACTGTAGAAAAGAGTTTGGCATTCACTAGAAGAGTTAGAGTTGCCCTTCGACTCAGCAATTTCACTTGAAGGTATACACACAGGAAAACTGAAGCATATGTCCACATAAAAACTTGTATACAGATATTCACAGCAGCATTCTTTCATAACAGGCAAAAGGCAGAAATAATCTAAATGTTCATCGGCTGATAGAAGGATAAATAAAATGTGGCACATCCATACAATGGAATATTATTCAGCCATAAAAGAAAAAAAAAGTACTGATATATGCTATCATATAGTAAGCCTCAAGAACATTATGCTAAAGGAAAGAAGCCAGATACAAAGGCTACATATTGTGTGGTTCCTTTT